ATAACATTACAGTAATGACCCCCCAGTGCACAAGATGAACACGTCTTCTATGCTGCTGAGCCACACCTGGTCTCCTCACTGGTTAATAACATCACAGCACACCTTCCTGCACTGAAAACTAAGTTATACAGGTTCAATACATCTGTGTGACGTTTCTCATGCTGAGATGGCTACATTACCTTGCTGCATAGTGAGGAGCATGCATGCTAAATCTGGGTTCTTCAGTTGCTATTCTCGGAACTCCTGAAATGTATTCGCTGCACCCAACCACTAGTGGAATCTTTTACTTGTTGTCAGTGTGGCAGAAATGGTCTCAACTCGTATATGGTGTCCAGAATTGGGACATTCAATGTATAGTGAGACAAGTGTCTTGGGTCCAAGCAATGTTGTACGAGCAAATAGTATTCCTACAGCACTGTTATCTAGTGTTCTATCTGCTCTGTTTTAAAAATACATCAACTAGTTTATGTATGGTCCACTTGAACCATAAGTTGTAATAATATTTTATGAGTGAAGATTCACAATTGCATGCATATGTTTTTGTCATATCATTTATGCTCCGGATCTGACTGAGCCTATGAGTAGCAAAAGATGAGATTCCACTCCTTCCTATAATTGTAACACTGATCCAATTCTCCTGGTGCTGCTGTTGTTATCTTAGTTAATGATTCTCATGTGAAGCTGGATAAGTGGTCATCCATAACTACAGAACAACACAAAGACTCTATCCCTCCTTGTACCTCAATGGCAAGTTTACAGACTTGCAACAATAAAACCTGGGGGTTCATTTACCCATGGTGAGGAGCTAATTCAATAATGATACATTTACTCAAAACTAAAACTTACTGACGTGTCTGTGTGGTCAATCTCTAGTTCAGTGCAGCATAAGTTGACATAGAATTAATGCTACTTTCTTTATGGACAAAAAACAGGTTATTTCACAAGTGGGCTCTAACCATCTGCATTACATGATACCAAAGTACTAGACTTCACAATAAATCATGGAATGTGCACATAGAGGTACTGTAACTTCTCATGTAGTACACTGTTCCTGTGTCTAGTCTGGCTGGCACTAAACTTTCAAAGACCATTGGTTCACCTTTTACACAGGTGAAACTAAAACTCCTGTCCATCCATTCTAAGAATACTAACGGCAGATCCAAGGTTAACAATGAATACACTTGTTCTATAAATGATGTATTTCAGAGATAGTTGAAGTTACCTCTGCATTCACATGTAGTATATTTACCAGAATGAAGCTTGAGTTGACTGGTCTGAGTGTTTTTTTTTTCAGTGCCTGATGTACTATGAGTTGGCAGCATTCTGTCTGGTCCTGTGTCAACCAGGAACTATTTTTCTCTTGTACTGTGATTGTCACATTACCAAACCCCACACGCCCTGAAAGCTGAGCTGATAACTAAACCTTTTGATACAAGCTAATTTGAGCTTCCATAGTTTTCCAAAGTTGTAGCAGCATTGTTAGTTACCTGTCGTTGGTTTTACTGCATCTTTGAAACCACTGTCCTGATGCTCAGCAAGGCATAGACAGTACACTCTAAAGTGACCAGATACTCCACAGCCAAGTTAAGCTCTTTGCTCCTCCTTTCTAAAATAAGATCCAGACAGAGGTATCATTGGCATAAACTGTGGCATGTAAACCACTAGAAGAACCAGCCACTGGATACAAGTGTGGTTTCATTACAGTACCAGGTTACGTAAGTAACCAGTTAACCTTCGTGATGTGGATGTATGGGTAGAATGGTCTCTCTGAGGTAAAGCTGCTGCAGTTTTATCTCTTGTCATCAGTTCCAAGTTACTGCATTGCTACAAACTGAGAGAGATTCCACAAACTTGATTAAAAGAGCATCTTTGTGATCCACTGAGGCCACTGTAAAGAAATCCTTACTGTGAAAATGGTGCAGATCTTCCATGTGAGTGGTCATATTTTCATGGTACCATCATCCTTCCAAGTTTTGAACTGTCTGAATTTCTCTATCTTTCCTCAAGTCAAACCTCTGGTGCAATTTGGTAATGACTGTTCCAAAGTTGTACCTCCCTCTGAAGTCTAGTGCTGGACCATTGAAACTCTGGATTTGGCATTGCACAGTGTGCTCCAGAGTCCAACTGTTCCAAGGAATTACTCACCTGAAATATTTTGGGAAACTCTCTCCTTTGCTGTACCATTAAATATTGGGGGGGGGGTAATCTTCCCTGCTTCACTTGTGGAGGACCAATGATCATAGCCAGAGCTTTTATATTACAACCTCTCAGCTAAGTTGTCATTGACATTGCAGGCATAGTATTGTAGTTACTCTGACTTGTTCGAGTGGCCAATCCCTATTTCAGTACAGCATAAGTTGACATTGGTAGCTTGTCCTTCAGCTCTAAGCACCAGGCTTCTCAGTGGCCCATTGTTGTTTCATCAGTATATCTTCTTGCTTGCCACTGCTCCATGGTCCACTTAGTTCACCATTTAGTGCCTGCCATCTGACCTACTCGCTGTTGTCAGATTGTCCTGTAGTAACCAGATCTGGGGAGGGTTATTCTGGCTGACATATGTCTGGGAGTCCTGCAAAGACTGCCTCACCCCGTCTTGGCATATTCCCCCACCACCCCCACCCGCCCACAATAATCCTTGGTCATCGATTCTCCTCGTACTGAGGTTGGTCCTTGAGGAAAAAGCACGTAATTTAAAAAAAAATAAAAAATTCTGGGTGCACTAAAATCACTTGTATCTGTTCTTCCCAAGCCATTGGCTGTAACAAGATAGTCATGGACCTCCACAGTATCAGCAATGACTCTACTTTGACTATCTCCCTTCAGTGGTTGACTCTTGCTCGTAAGTCCTTTTAGTTGTGGAAAATGTCACTTGTGCAACTATGAAGTCTTAAAATTGTACAAGAGTAGGAGTGAAGGACAACACGAGTTGGCTTAGTAGAGTAGGAGTGAAGGACAACACGAGTTGGCTTAGTAGAGTAGGAGTGAAGGACAACACGAGTTGGCTTAGAGCGTAGGAGTGAAGGACAACACGACGTTGGCTTAGAGCGTAGGAGTGAAGGACAACACGCGTTGGCTTAGAGCGTAGGAGTGAAGGACAACACGCGTTGGCTTAGAGCGTAGGAGTGAAGGACAACACGCGTTGGCTTAGAGCGTAGGAGTGAAGGACAACACGAGTTGGCTTAGTGGAGTAGGAGTGAAGGACAACACGCGTTGGCTTAGTGGAGTAGGAGTGAAGGACAACGCGCGTTGGCTTAGTGGAGTAGGAGTGAAGGACAACGCGCGTTGGCTTAGTGGAGTAGGAGTGAAGGACAACGCGCGTTGGCTTAGTGGAGTAGGAGTGAAGGACAACGCGCGTTGGCTTAGTGGAGTAGGAGTGAAGGACAACGCGCGTTGGCTTAGTGGAGTGGGAGTGAAGGACAACGCGCGTTGGCTTAGTGGAGTAGGAGTGAAGGACAACGCGCGTTGGCTTAGTGGAGTAGGAGTGAAGGACAACGCGCGTTGGCTTAGTGGAGTAGGAGTGAAGGACAACGCGCGTTGGCTTAGTGGAGTAGGAGTGAAGGACAACGCGCGTTGGCTTAGTGGAGTAGGAGTGAAGGACAACGCGCGTTGGCTTAGTAGCAAGCTCTACAATAAGAGTATGTAGTCATTGCACAAATTTTCTCTTTCCAATACACTGGTATTTTCAGGTAATTTTAATCTTACAACAATGCGATAAGTCTGCTTAACAGGAGTTGTAACAAGAATTTTTACTAAATAGTGTTTAATCTTGGAACAATGCGATAGGTCTGCTTAACAGGAGTTGTAACAAGAATTTTTACTAAATAGTGTTTAATCTTGGAACAATGCGATAGGTCTGCTTAACAGGAGTTGTAACAAAAATTTTACTAAATAGTGTTTAATCTTGGAACAATGCGATAGGCCTGCTTAACAGGAGTTGTAACAAGAATTTTTACTAAATAGTGTTTAATCTTGGAAACTGAGAAAGAAATAAAGAACACAATGTTAAACATTAGTAAACCATCTATAACTTGTAAAAGATGTGATCACTTGTACTAGATTGAAACTTTTCTCTCGAACTAATCTTAACATTTCTTCCTGTGAGATGTACTCCTTGTCTGCAGTGTATTTGTTCTGTTATTCTTGAAATACAGACTGATTATTTATTTATTTATTTATTTATTT